CAGCCCCTGCAGCCAGGAAGATGGCGGGCGCCCAACTCCATGAAGCGGTGCGCCAAGGAGACGAAGCTGCTCGCTGAGCTGGCCCGCGTGCACGGAGACGTCTTCGAGCTGGGGATGCTGGCGGAGACGCGCGTCGCCGACTCTGTGCCAGCCAGCCTCCTGGCCAGCCTGCAGGAGGCGCCAGCCGCCAGGCAGGCGACAGGGCGCGGCCGCGCGGCCCTGCGGTACTGGGCACGCCCGAGGCCGTCGACCAGCATCTCTTTCAGAATCTCGATCAAGCTCTAAAGAGCGCGCGGTGGCGTCGCCGTTGCTTGTCCCTAGAACTTTTCTCAGGTCACGGCCGCGTCGGCCAGCAGCTGAGGCGGGCGGGTTTCGCCCGCCTGTCCCTTGACCTGTTGCGCGGGCCGGCTGAGAATCACCTTTCCGTGACTCCCCAGCGATGCATCATCGGTTGGGTGAAATCTCAGGCAGTGATCGGTGTCTGGCTCGGGGCCCCTTGCACGTCTTGGACCCGGGCCCTCCGAACAACTTTCAGACCCAACCATGCGCAAATGTGAGAACCGCAGGGCAGGTGGGACGAAGCAAGGGGAATTCCCAATGGGGCCACGAATCGCGTGAGGGGTGCGCCAAAATGGGGCGGGGCCGCCATGCGAACCCTGCCACTGGGGCCTTCCGCGAACCCCCCTATAGGGCCACGAACTGTGTGAGGGGTGCGCCAAAATGGCGCGGGGCCGCCATGCGAACCCTGCCACTGGGGCCTTCGGTGGAGCTCCCTATGGGGCCACGAACCGTGTGAGGGGTACGCCAAAATGGCGCGGGGCCGCCATGCGGACCCTGCCACTGGGGCCTTCGGTGGAGCCACCTAATGGGGCCACGAACCGTGTGAGGGATGCGCCAAAATGACGCGGGGCCGCCATGCGAACCCTGCCACTGGGGCCTTCGGTGGAGCTCCCTATGGGGCCACGAACCATGTGAGGGGTGCGCCAAAATAGGGCGGGCCCGCCATGCGAACCCTGCCACTGGGGCCTTCGGTGGAGCCACCTAATGGGGCCACGAACCGTGTGAGCGGTGCGCCAAAATGGGGCGGGGCCGCCATGCGAACCCTGCCACTGGGGCCTTCGGTGGAGCTCCCTATGGGGCCACGAACCGTGTGAGGGGTGCGCCAAAATGGCGCGGGGCCGCCATGCGAACCCTGCCAGTGGGGCCTTCGGTGGAGCCCTCTGTGGGGCCACCACTGGGGCCTTCGGTGGAGCCCCCCATAGGGCACGAGCCGTGTGAGCGGTGCGCCAAAACGCGGGGCCGCCATGCGAACCCTGCCACTGGGGCCTTCGGTGGAGCTCCCTATGGGGCCACGAACCGTGTGAGGGGTGCGCCAAGACGCGGGGCCGCCATGCGAACCCTGCCATTGGGGCCTTCGGTGGAGCTCCCTGTGGGGCCACGATCCTCGTGAGGGGTGTGCCGAAGTGGCCCAGGGCGGCCATGCGAACCGAACCCTGCCACTGGGGCCTTCGGTGGAGCTCCCTATGGGGCCACGAAGCGCTGTACTGGGTGGGTGAACGCAGGGAGGATGGAGGAGGGGGAGGAGGAGAGGAGGAGGAACGCGGGGCACCGTCTCTTCAAAACGAGGACCCAACATCACAGGATGGTTGGGAAAAACCTGCACGTGTATGCGCATGGCATGGTGGGGCAGGTCATCGTATCAATCGTACGTGCTGCCATTGAGGGCAGATATGCTCCAGGTCTCATCGCCCCCACCTCGTGCTCAGTGGCCGGGCTCCTGGGGGCGTCCTCGACGCTGCTCCCGCAGCGTCGTATCCACCGGTGTTCGCACGAGCAGCACCAGCCCAGAACATTGAAAGTGCTCATGTTGTTCAGTCTAGGCGTCTCTTTCGTTTGCACGGTGTGCGGTATCTGTTCAGGGGCCACGTGTGGATGTTATTTTGCGGGTTTCGGCCACTTCCGCCATTCGGGAGCGGGTGTTTTGTCGAAGCCTCTCGAAGTTGGGGTCCGCGTGTTGCTGCTCACGTGTGCCTCCTTCGGTCGTCTCACAAATGCATCATCCTGGCCCTAGGAAGCCTCCCAACATGCTGGGACAGCTTATATGGTGAACCATGTGCAGAAGCGCAGAAGGGCCGTACTTGTGTCGGCTCAAGCTCTCCCTCCCTCCCTCCCTCGCTCTCTCCTCTGCATGTCGAGTGTGATTTCTGTTCCGTCCGAGCTTCCTCGGGGTACCCTGTCGAAGCCTCTTGAAGTCGGAGTCCGCGTGTTGCTGCTCACGTGTGCCCCCTGCGGCCGTCTCACAAATGCATCATCCTGGCCCTGGGAAGCCTCCCAACATGCTATATATCTGTAGAGAGAGAGAGAGAGAGAAACAGAGAAAGACAGGAAGAGAGAGAGAGAGAGAGACGATGGTTGTATGTAGTCATATTTGCACGTACGCATACGTGTACATTTGTATGAGTTTGTGTTGGATTGGTGCTTGTATGTTTGTATGTTTCTATGTATATACGATGATTGCCTGCATGCGCGCATGCAAGTGTGTGTGTATGCATGTGTACGTGTGTATATATGCATGTATGTCTGTGTATATGTATGTATGCATTGGTACGTATGTATGTACGGATGTATGCATACACGTATGTGTGGATGTATGTATGTGTGCGTATACATAAATGTATGAGTATATAGATGTATGGATGTATGGGTATATGGGTGTATGGATGCATGTAGGTATAGGGTGTGTGTGTGGGTGTATGGGTGTACGCATATGGTGTGTGGATGTATGGATGTATGGGTGGATGGTGCACTTATGCCTATATGCATGTACGTATGTGCATGCATGTATGTATTGGCGTGTGCATGTACGTATGTATCTCTGTATGTATGCTACACGTGTGTATGTTTGCATGCATGCATGTGTGTATGTTTGTCTGCACGTGCGTACATGCATGTATCCATCTATGCATGTATGTATGTACGTATGTGTGTATGTATGTGTGTATGTCGATATGTACGTATGTATGCATGCATGTGTGCATGAAGGTGTGTGTAACTGTATGTATATGAGTGTGTATAGCTGCGTGCGGGTATACCTGGGTATGTACAACTGTATGCATTGATGGATTGATGTGTGTGTGCTTGCCTGTAGGTATGTACGTACATATGTATGCGTGTTTGTATAATCGTATGTAGACATGTATACATGCATGTATGCATATATGCATGTATGTATGTATGTACGTAAGTATGTGTGGTTGTATGTATGTATGTATATGTATGTATGTCTGTGTGTTCATGGTACGTGTGTAAGTCTGTAAGTACTTATGCTTGGACGTGTGCACGCAGGTCTTCATGTTCATAGGTGTGTGAGCATGTGTGCATGCATGTATGTATGCAGGTATATATGTATGTACGTATGTGCATACGTAATGTATTGTATGTATACACGTTTGTATACACGTGCATGAATTATGCCCCCCCCCCCCGAGGGGGCCGCCCACCTCGAAGACATCTGCGGCAAACCCCTGGCTCCCCCGTCCTGGGCGTCCAGGAACTTTCCAATAGGGCCTCAAGACGGCTCAGGACGCTTCCGGGACAGGCAAGAGTGCGCGATGACGGACACCCCGACGGCCCAAGAGGCCCCCGTCAGCGCCCAAGAGGCCTCCAAGAGGCCCCCGAAACCGCCGACGAGAGCACAAAGGGTTCTCCCAAACCTAAGGAAACCAATGTGTGTTGCAGTTCCGCTTTGTCGCTTTCGATACCCTTCAAGGGCTAACGCATGACCCTGGCCCAAGTGGCCCAAAGAGGCCCCAAGAGGCTCCCAAGACACACGAATAACCCACGAGACCCACCAGAATAAAAAGCAGGGGGGGCTGAAGAAGCCCCCAAGAGGAGCCCAAAACGCACAAGAGCTCCACATAGACTCCCCAAGTGCCCCAAGAGTCCTTGAAAGGCCCCAAGCTTGTCAAGAGGCACCCATCGTGACACATGTTGCGGCAAGCCGCGGACATGTATGTGTGTATGTGCGTATGTATGTGTCTACACACATACAGACATACATACATACATACATACATACATACATACATACATACATATTTACATACATACATGCATACATACATACATACATGCATTCATGCATGCATGCATGCATGCATGCATACATGCATACATACATACATACATACATACATATACACACATACATACATACATACATACATACATACATACAGACAGACAGACAGACAGACAGACAGACAGACAGACAGACAGACAGACAGACTGTCAGGCATACATACAATCCGGTCCAATTCTATCCAATCCAATCCAATATAACCCAACCCAATCCAATCCATACATGCATACATGCATAATCTATACATCTTTACATATGTACATACACACATATATATATATATATACACAAAAAAAACAACGAGAGAGAGAGAGAACAACAACATATATATATATATATGTATATATATATATATATATATACATTCATGCGCCCCCCCCCCCCCCCAGAGTTCCGACCCACACCTCGGTGACATTCGGACAAATCCTGGTACCGCCCTGCCGGGTCTCCCAGGCGGCCCCATGAGAGCCTCGGGACGCTCTCTCGGGCCCAGGCGGCCCAAGGAAGCCTCGGGGCGGCCTGGAACGCTTCCAAGAAAAGCCCGAAAGGGCTCTCAGACTGCCCACGACAGCGCCCATCTCCCCGTCCCTCGTCGCGCGCATTGCTTTGTTCCTCACCCTCCTCAGTGACCCCACGAGGTCAAGTGAATTAGCCAGCTGATCAGGCCCCCTGCGGCCGCTCGTGCTCGAGGCCATCTCGCCCGAGGTGCGCGCGCGCTTCGCCCGACGCGCGCGGCGAGCAGCGGGCCCGCCGCGGCTAGGCGGGCATCGCGCGCGGGCGTGCTCTCTGCCCAGAGGGCGCGCGGGCAGCCAGCGGCCTGCCCGCCAAGGCTCCCTCCTCGCGGCGGCCCGCAGCCCGGATGGCTCCCGGGGAGGGCGGGACGCCGCTGTCGCGCGACGGGAGCGCGCTCTTCGCGCCCGTGCGCGACCACCTGGAGGCAAGGGGCGGGGTCGGCCAGAGCGCTGCTCGAGGGAAACGGCGGGGGGCAGTTTTTCTTCCGACTCTGTCTTCTTCTCGTTCGTCCTCGTTCAGGGGGTCATTTGTGGGCCGAGCGCCACCCAAGGCGGTGCACCACGACGCCGTTCCTGGGAATCTCCGGGGTTGCTCTCATTCTGAAGCCGAAGTGGGGCAATCATTTCTGCTGGTGGCACGAGAGACGAGACGGTCCGATGCGGACGATGCTTGGCGGGGCGCGTTGAGGCGAATTGCGCCAGATGCCGAGGCAAGCGATGGAAGCGGGAGGCGGCTGGGAGGGGGGCGAGGAGGGAGGAGAGAGAGGAGGGAGGAGGAGAGGAGGGATGTGGGATGAGGGAAGAGGGAGGAGGGTGGAGGGATTATGTTTCGGTTTATGTTGTGCCGATCTGTCCCCGGGGGGTGCCCGTGGAACCAGAAAATCCCCGGCCTGGAATAACACCGCCCACTGGGCCTTCAGGCCCCTTGCCTTGGGGTGCCGGGGTCGCCACTGTCCTAGGGGGCGCCCTTCATGGGTGGGCGCGGCAACCCCGAATACCAGGGGGGGTGCTGGGCATCGATGGCCTGGCTGGCGGGGGCTAGTCGCGAGTCAGGGAGGGGCACATGGAGGGGAATGACGGGCGACGCGCAGGGGTGAGGAGGAAAGGGATGGAAGGTGAGGGGCTGGGAACAGCAGAGGGGTGAGAAGGAAAGGGATGGAGGGCAGGGGACGAGGGGGAACACCAGGGAGGGGGCAGGGGGAACCGGGGCGGGAGTGAGGAGGAGGAGGAGGAGGATCCGGAGGAGGAGGAGGAGGAGGAGGAGGAGGAGGAGGAGGAGGGCGGTCCCCCTCCAGTTAGGCCTCGTGCCAGGGCCGTGGCCTGAGGGTGCAGCCCCCGACTGCGGCGTGCCGGGCAAGCACCTCGCCGGGGGACTATCCAGCTAGGGGGGGATATAATTAGGCTCAGGGGGGGGTGGTGCATCGACCCGAAATTGCCCACTGATCGCCGACAGGGGCCTGATAGCCCACCCCGCCAAGGAACGCGCAGATTCGCTTTAGGGAGCAGATCGCCGATCTGTCGGCGATGTATCTCCGATTCCAGCTCGATGTTTCCCCCCCTGAGCCGTTCACCCCTGACGCCCCCCCTCCCCTCACTCCCCGCCGGGCGGCCCCAGGATTAGGATCGCCCCAGAGCCTTCCGGAACGCTCTCAGAGCGTCCCGGAGCACTCTGGAACGGCCGCGGTGCCCTATACACATCCTCTAGAACCGCCGGATCTCAGAGATCCCCGATTTGTCCCAATCCGGTGTTGTCCTGGTCCATGGCCTCGTCTTAAAAGGAGGCGGCCCGCGATACGCAAGACGTTTTTGTGGCCGGCCCGTGCCCAGAGGGCTTGCGGGAGCAGCTCGCGGGGCTGTTGCTGGAGAGCGAGGGCGGGCCGCCTCTGCTCCGGCGGCGGGCCCTGGCCAGGGCCACCCTCGGGCCCAGGATGCGTGCGTGTGGGTTGTTCTACCAGGAAGCTGGTGGGGTCACATGATGTGGCCGGCCTGAGCGAGGGCTGGGTACATTGTTTCACGAGCGTGAGAAGGCCCTGTGGCACGAAGAGGGGAACGAGGGAGGGGGGGAGGGAGGTGGGGGTGAAACACGCGAGGGCTGGGTACACGTGTGGCTAGTTAGCGCTGGCTACGCCGCTTGGTGGGCCTGGAAGCGACAGGGCCATGTTTTTGTTCCAGCTCCGTTACGCCGTTTTTTGCCGGTTCCGTCGCCGTTTGATTGCCGGTTTCGTCGCCGTTTTTTCCGGTTCCGGCTCCGGTTCCAATCTAGAACCAGTTTTGTTGCAATTTCGGGTCGCGTTTTTTTTTCACCTTTTCTCGAACACGGTGAGAAAACAGCCCTGCCCTTTCCAGGGCCCACTGGGGTCCGCCGGCCCTCCGCATGTGTATCGAGCGCGTGGCCTCTGGAATGTACCACCTGTGGATCCAGCCATGGGCGATTGCAGCTTGCTGCAGGATGTCCTGGCCAGGCCGGAACGGCGTGTGCACCGATCCTGGATTCACCCCAGGTCTGAACGTCGCACTTTTCCTCGCCAGTAATTTTCGCCCGACCTCGGGCCCCAGGGGCTCCAGAACCTGCACGGATCGATCCAGCACGGGACATGCCGAGAGTTTGGGGCAGCATGGGCTTGGTCCAGGCCCAGCCAGGGCGGGTTGTTGGTGTGCAAAGACGGCTTCCTTCGCATTAGGAGAGGCAGTTGCTCGAGGAGCAGCTCAACAGGAACTGTCGGTCGGCCTTGGGCGGGCTGTGGGACCTGCAGGTTCACCGTTGGGTGGCGGAGCCGACGGATGGTCTGCTGAAGCAGGCGCTGCACAACCAGTGGCCTGCCCTGGACGTGATGCGGGCCGTCGTCGTGGAAGGCCGCCTGGAGAAAATGTGGGACCTCCAGCTATGGCTCAGCATGATCCTCGACAGCGCCCAGCAGCACTGGGGCACGGTCGCAGAGGAGGCGCGGCAGATGGGGGAGAGGCTCGCGGTGCAGGCGAAGCAGCTGTCCGTGAACGCGCGCACCCTCGACGCGCGCGCGGAGGTGTTGCTCGGCCTCCTCGCCCGCACTCCCGGGTTCGAGTCGCGCGCGCAGGGCGTGCTTGCGAACCTGCGCGGTGGCCTGGAGGCCCGCGGGCAGCGAGGCTTCGACTCGGTCTTCTCCCCAATGTCCAAGGTGCACGGTCTGCTTCAGCGGGTCACGGTTATCGCGACCCGCGTGGAGGAGAGCGCGGGCTCGTTGGCTGCCGAGATGGAGCCAGACTGGTGCGGCGGCACGGGCGAGGATGTGCCAGCGGAGGTCGCCGCGGTATCCGAGGAGAATTGCCGGCGGCTCGCGGCCTGGGCGCGGGGGCTGGAACACAAGATGAGCCATTGGCTCGCCAGCAGCGCCCTCGACGCCTTTCGCTCCGTGGCGCGCTGGCAGCTGGACGCGGCCGCCAACCTGACCGCTGCCGCGGAGTTGCTGAGGTTGCTGTGGGGCGCTTCCGAAGGCCTCCTTGGCGACGGCGCGCCCCCCGTAGCCACGGGGGGCCTTGGCGTCGGGGACAACCCGGAGGAGCCGACCGTCCTCCTTGACTCCAGCAACCTGGAGGACTCCGTGAGGCTACTCGAGGAGGACGCGGAGCACTTCACCCCTGGCGTCGGCGCCACCGCGGACGCGGCCCCACTGCCGAGGCGCCTCAGCGACACCGCCAGGCTGCTGGCGGACGGACGGCCGAACCAGTACGTGGCGCCGCCGCAGCGCCCGGCGCCGGAGCCGCGCGGCGAGCCGCTGGGCCGCAGGCTGATGGGCCTGATGAGGCTCTGCGTGCGCTTCCAGTGGCTGACGGACATGATGAGCCTGACGGCCACCAACTGGTTCGATAGGGTGCGCAGGAGGGGTGATGGGCTGCTCCGCGTGTCCTCGCGCATCGAGGCGGACCAGCGGGCCCTGCACGATTCGCTGCAGACGCTGCCAGAGTACCGCCGCCTGGCTTTCGAGGAGATACACGAGGCAGGGCACTGGGGCAAGGGAAACTCGGGCGGAGGGTCCAACCCCACGCGCACGTGGGCGGTGGCGCGCGGTCTCGTGGAGATCCTGGCGCAGTATCCGCCCGGCGGCGCCCTGTCCGTGCTCGACATCGGCTGTGGCTGGGGTGACCGGGGGGGGCCATAGGACAGGGATGCCCCGTTCAAGAACATTCAGGAACGCTCTGAGAAGGCGGCGGCGCCCGACACGCATCCTCCAGAGCAGCCGGGTCTCAGAGATTCCCGATGTATCGCTGTCCGAGCTTGTCCCTGTCCTGCTTTTGCCGCAGGTGAGTGGCTGCCGGAGCAGCTCCGCAGAGCCATGGCCGCGGGGACGATCCGCAGGTCTGCGACCACTCGAGAACTCTACCCCCACGGGTTCAATCGACGCTGGGGTATTGGAGCCCCCCGCTGGGATTCACTTGTCAAGGGAGAAAAAAACCATACCTACCCCATAACTGGCGTTTTCTAAGCTGGCCTGGGCGTTTACTAAAGAAACCTGTCCTGTTCGATTCATTCCTTGGGTGTGTCTGCTAAACAGTTTTGCTTCTCGTAGTGCTTCTTATGAGGGTGCTCTTCTGTTCTCTAACTTGTCTGCAGACATCCTTCAAATTCGAGCCCCAGCCGTCTGTTCAGAAACATGACCTGCAGGGTCATGGTTCACATGTGGTCACCCGGCATCGAATGACAACAACCTACATAAACATAATTCCCGGGAGGTCCACGCGGATTCTTTGATCTTCGCGGGGACGTCCTGGGGGCCCCTCCTGCCAGCGCCGCCCCTGGCGCACTCCGCGCGCCAGGGAGGAGGGTCCAGCGCAGATCCAAGCAATCGGCGCGGACCGTCGAAAGTTCAGCAGGCGTATGCCATGTTTCTTCTCCTGTAGCAGGGACCTGAGCTACGTGGGTGTGGAGATCGCCTCCCAGCCCGTGCAGCACCTGCGGGCCGTGTCCAGCTCCTGGGCCCTCGGCCGTTGGCGCTTCGAGGTCGCCGACGCCGTCAGCGACGCGCTGCCCGCGGGCGCGGACGTCGCGGTCGTGAGGCACGTCTTCCAGCACCTCACCACCGCGGACGCGCTCACCTTGCTACGCAACCTGCGGCAGGCGCGGCCGCGGTATTCCGAGGAGGAAATGGTACCAATGCCGCTGCCCTTCCCTCATCTCCGGCTTTTGGGGCCTCCAGAGATGCCATCGTCATAACCGCTGGGTTCGCTCCGAAATCCTCGTCAGAACGCACCCCAGGAGAGGTCCCGGGAGTAACATAATCGGTCCCTCTTGGTTTCCCCAGGTACGTGCTCCTGTCCTCGATACCAGGCTCTCCGCGACCGCCGCTGAAGCGACCAGTCCAGTCGCCCGTCCCCGATGACGGGATCTCTCGGGCCCGATTGACCCAGTGGGGGCCTCACGGGGCCCGGCACAGGGCGACAGCACCCGCCGTGACGTGCTATTCGCGACGCCCGGATACTTGTGGGGGGAAGGGGGGCGGGCCTGGTGGTGGCAGCAAGGGGCCTCCCAGGCTCCCCGAACGTGGACCTGAGCACGGTGGGCGGCTCCTCGGCCTTCGCCAACGTGGGCCCAGGCAGGGCCCACCAGTTCCATCCAAGAGGCTCGCGCCCCGCTCTCGCCGACCCCGGCCAGGCCGACCCTGGGCCCGCGATCGGCGCACGTGCGCCCTCCAGGCCTGGGCAGGAGGGCGTCTACGCCGACCCCCTGGCCCCTGACTGTCGGCGACCTCCTGCAGAAGCGGTGGGCTGACGACATTTTAGGACGAGCCTGTTGGGCCTTCAGCACGTGTGCTCTTGGGGCGTTTGGGGGCATCTTGCTGGCTCGGGGCACGTTAAGCAGAAAAAGGAGAAGATGCCGTGAACTTTGTTCGGAAGTTTTTGAAGACGTGAACATCATGTGTGTGAGTGTTGTCTCATTCCTGAACTTGTGGTAGCATGCCATTGCCTTTGCGTCTCATCCCTGCTCCAAGGGGAGTTGAAAATCCCTAGGGAGGGGCAACATCTCCGAGAGACCCAGTGTGCATCTGAACCGCTCCTGCCCAGCCGATCCTGAGCCTGGGCAATGTGCATCCGCCTTCCGGGCGAGCTAGGGGCAGATACTTGCTACTGTTGCTGCTGATAATGGTGATGATGGTTGTGATGATGGTGATGGTGATGGTGATGATGATGATGATGATGATGATGATGATGATGACGACGACGACGACGACGACGATAACGATGATGATGGTGATGATGCTGATGATGATGTTGATGACGATGATGATGACGACGATGATGATGATGACGGTACTGATAATTATGATGTTGATCATGATGATTGTCATGGTGATGGTGGTGATGATGACGACGATGATGACGATGACGACGATGCTGGTGTTGCTGATGATGATGTTGGTAATGGTGATGGTGATGGTGATGGTGATGGTAATGGTGGTGGCGATGGTGATGGTGTGATGGTGATGGTGGTGTTGCTGATGATGATGCTGCTGATGATGATGACGATGCTGATGAAGATGACGATGCCAGTGATGCTGCTTGTGATGGTGACGATGATGATGACGATGATGGCGATGATGATTCAACTGATGAAGACGATAATGCTCGTGATGGTGATGGTGACGATGATGACGATGATGCTGACGATGACCATGATGATGACGATACTGATGATTCTGATGCTGATTTTAATGACGGTCATGGTGAGGGTGGTGATGCTGACGATGATGACGTTGATGATGCTGCTGATGATGTTGGTAATGGTGATGGTGATGGTAATGGTACGGTAATGGTGATGGCGATGGCGATGGTGATGGTGATGGTGATGGTGGTGATGCTGATGATGGTGTTGCTGCTGCTGCTGATAATGATGATGATGGTGATGCTGATGATGACGATTACGATGACGATGATGATGGTGATGTTGACGGCGATGATGATGCTGATGGTGATGATGATCATGGTGCTGATGTTGAACATGATGATGGTCATGGTGTTGTGGTGCTGATGACGATGATGACGATGACGATGATGATGATGCCGCTGATGATGATGATGTCGGTAATGGTGATGGTAATGGTAATGGTGATGGCGATGATGGTGTAGGCGGCGATACTGATGGTGATGATGCTGATGATGATGGTGATGCCGATGATGGTGACGATGACGATGATGATGGTGATGATGATGATGATGCTGCTGATGATGACGATGATGACGGTGATGCTGCTGATGATGACGATGATGCTGGTGATGGTGATGGTGACGGTGATGCTGGTGATGGTGGTAGTGATGGTGAAGGTGATGGCCATGATGACGGTGGTGATAATGATGGCGGTGTTGCTGCTGCTGTTGATGATGGTGATGGTGGCGATGACGATGATGCTGATGATGATAAGTACGATGCTGATCATGATGGCGATTTGCAGCTGATGATGATTGGGATACTGATCATGGTTGTGATGCTGATGATGGTGATGATGATGATGCTGATGATGCTGATGGTGATGACGATGGTGATGGTGATGATGATGATGGTGATGATGGTAATGATGCTAGTGATGGTGATGGTGATGGTGGTGGTGGTGATGATGATGCTGCTGATGACGATGATGATTGTGATGGTGATGATGATGACGATGACGATGACGACGATGAAGATGATGGCGACGCTGATGATGGTGATGATCATGATGATGTTTGTGGTGATGATGATGATGCTGGTGATGGTGATGGCGATGGTGATGGTGATGGTGATGGGGGTGATGATGATAAACCTGATGATGATGATGATGATGATGATGATAATGCCGATGATGGTGATGCTCATGATGATGTTGGTGATGATGATGATGATGATGATGATGATGATGATGACGATGCTGGTGATGGCGATGGTGATGGTGATTGTGATGGTGATGGTGGCGATGATGCTATCGATGATGATGACGGTGCTTACGATAATGATGATGTCGATGATGATGATGATGACGATGACGATGACGATGACGATGATGATGATGATGATGATGATGATGATGATGATGATGCTGATGGTGATGAAGCTGATGATGATGATGACGAGGATGACAAGGATTATGAGGATGATTCTGATGATGGTGAAGATGCTATTGATGGTGATGGAAATGGTGACGGTGATGGTGATGGTGGTTATGGTGATGGTGTTGATGATGATGGTGATGGTGATTGTGATGTCGATGACGATGATGACGATAATGACGACGATGATGATTATGGTGCTTCTGCTGATAATGACGATGCCGATGACGATGATGGTGGTGATTATGATGCTGATGATGATGATGACGATGCTGCTGCTGATGGTGATGATAATGATGATGATGCTGATGATGATGATGATGACGATGCTGATGGTGATGATGATGAAATTGCTGGTGATGGTGATGGTGATTGTGATGACAATGCTGCTGCTACTGACAATGATGCTGATGACGATGACGAGGATGAGGATGATTGTGATGATGATCATGCTGATGATGGTGATGATGATGATGCTCCTGATTATGATGATGCTGATAATGATGATGCTGATGATGATGGTGAAGAGGAGGAGGAGAAGGAGGAGGAGGAGGAGAAGACGGAGGAGGAGGAGGAGGAGGAGGAGGAGATGATGGCGAGCAGGGGAAAGCTTTGCCGCCGCCCTAAATTCTAACATCCCGAGGTCCTCGCGGAGTTCCCCACAGGGCTCTGTACACAGACACACGTCAAAGAAAGACCAGAAGCTTTTTCCATACCGCGAAAACGTCCAGGAATCTCCCCCCCTCAGTCGTTCAGCATCGTCTGACCTGTCCCCATCCTCACTGGGCCGTGGTATCTCAACACCACCAGCCCACTCCCCTAGGTGAGGATGGCCTCACGGAACCCGCAGGAACAGACATAGGTCCCCAGCTAGGTGGGTAAGACGGCCTTTGGGGCCAAGGCCACGCTTGTGGGGACAGGGACTGGTCAGGGTTGAACGAGCCTCAATTCTCGAGGGTTGAGGGCAATTTCCAGCGAGAAGAGGAGGACATACAAGCGGGGGTTCGGCGGATAGCTATGACCTTCGGTCGCCTCCTTTTGCCCTGCCGGAGCCTGACCGGGTCGTCCTGGACCTCAACACCACCAACTCTGGCGAGGCCAAGGATCCAGAGCAGATGCTGCTCTACCCCGTGGATGCATTGGACGTGCTCGGCTAGGAACGGCGACGGTATGCCGAAGGGACCCAGGGGCCCAATCCTCAAGAGGCCCTGTCAAGCATATGCGGTTTTCTTTACTGCTGGGAAGGGAGCGACGGTCTTTTGGCACCTTTGCCGCGCGCAAGTCAGGATATTTGCGCCAGCATTCGAACATGCGCTGTTTCAACAACTACCGCTGCTGGGAGGTTTCCGAGGAGCCTAAGAGAAGCCTTCAAGGGGCACGCTGGTAGAAGACTAGAGGACTGCTCTCTGGACTCCTCGCACCCGGGCGCTGTAAAACATCTGAACGCCTTGCGTATCGCCACCAGCCCATCTAGCAACGT